ATCAAATTTCGCCTGAGCACTATCATTTTCAATGGCGCCCTCAATTTACACCGAAAGTTCAGTACAGCTATGTTTGAAACTCGAGCGTTGCGGTGTATGGGTGTAATGTACAGGATTTTAATTTTTTTTTAAATATTTGAATAAGATGCTCTACCTGGCCTCTTTTTGGCTACGACAGTTTAATAATTTGTCATTATCAATACTAATTATCATTAATGAAATAATATTCAGTCAGAGGGCTTATTTATGGTAATAATATGTATAATAAGCCTAAAGGCGGCGCTTTCCTACGGCAGCCATCTTGGATGGTACACATACACAACTCTGCATTACTCCGCCATCTTGTCAGCACTCTAGTTGTTTAATAGCTCTATGCTTTTTCTCCTTGGTATAATAGCGCATGAATGGCGCCCTCTTGCTAAATTGGAAACTTTTGAACCTTGACCGACGCTTCTATTTGTTACGCGTAAATCGCGGAGAACGCTATCTTGTGTTTATAAGATCTTTGCCAAAACTACTCCATAGATAGAGGGCTCAGTATTTCAACATGACGTCATCGGAGATGGGAATGGGGGAATATCCGAAATATATTTTTAACAACAAAAGCTCCTCTGATGAGGCATACGCTGATGTGCAGTAGGCCTAGTTATTTTTTGCTTGCGGTTAAATATGAAGTTGTTTTAATTTGAATAATCGGCATAAGTTACTTGAATCAAAGGTAGGCCTATTACTGTAGATACATACCGTAATAAAGCCATTTTATTGTGAAGTTAAAGAATCGTAGACTATAGATAGGCCTAGCTGAGTAATAATTAGGCCAGATCTAGCCTAGCTAGACGGCTAACTACTGTAACTAGTACTAGGCCTAGTAGTAGGGCCAGGGCTAGGGCTTAGTTAGTTAGGCCCGGGCCCTACCAGATCAGCAGTAACTGTTGCCTAAACATTAATATTATCAACATGACTGCCCCATTTTAGATCTTTCTGTACTGTAACGCATAAAATTAAGGCTTTGTCACAAAATTCAATTGAGGATTCTCCAATGTAAATACACTGTTCAGGGATATTGCACTACACTTAGGCCTAGTCTTAGTTCTATAATAGCAAAGCACATTTTCATACTTTACACTTACTAGGATTTAAAAGCAGAATTGTTAATACACCTAGGAATAGGCTATCACAAAATTGATTAATTAAGGTAATTCTGTAAGAAGCCTTCTTGTGAAATAAAGTCGATTTTCTTAAAAGGACAGACCATCAACGTACTTTGAGTACTTCGTATTATTAGAGCCACTCGCAGCATCATTGATCATACAGTAATCTGAAAAGCCATTTTTAGATATTAGCACATTGTGATTAATGAGGTCAAAAGCCTTAGTGAATCCGGAAGAAGTACGACTGTTCCAAAGATGCGAAAATGTTGGAAAATATGGGCTGATTTCCACGTAGATTTTTTCCGAAAGTTGGGCTTTGAAATTATTTTTTTGTTTAATTTATTTATTTATTAAAAATTCGACAAAGCTGTCCATGAGGGAACCATGGGCTGAGGGCCCAACACAAAAGTGGGAACCTCTTGACATAAAATATAATACAGAGTACAATATATTAGAAATGAACGGAACAACAAGGTAAACATTTAAAATACATTAAAAATTACTATATAAAAAAATAAAGTTAAAAAAAATAAAATAAAAAAATAATAACTATTAAATAAACAATGTATTAAGCAGTAATTACGATTGTGCGCACCTATTTTCCTAGCAATTTTCTGTGCAAATTTTGAGCTGGTTTTTGGGGTATCATCCACGCAATTAAAAAAATTTACAGTATGGTCTGCGGTTAATTTCGGAGTAAACACCATGAGATTTACACTAACAAATCTACAGCCAGGCTGAAGCTACTGTGTTGTATATTGGTGTCCCAAACAACCAGTGGCATATCCAGGGCCACCGACAGCTGTACATGGGCCCCAGGGCAGCTTTTTGCTGCAAGGGCCCATTGGCTGGGGGTGTGGGGGCCGCATAGGGCCACCAGCGGGGTCAGGGGCACAAGGGAAGCCCTTGAAAGCTACAGACTTTTAACAGATAAGAGGACTAATTTAATCGATTATAGAGTGCTTAATTTCAGCAGGTCATAAACAATAAATTATAGAAACATGACAAGTAAAAGCTATCTTTCCTTTTATTCAAACGTTGTTTTTTTTTTATTATTATTATTTTTTTTCCACCTAGCCCAACGAGGCCCAGGCCCTGAGGCACTTTTCCTGTCTGCCCCAGCCTCTTGGCACCATGTGTCGTATTTAGGGGTGTGTGCGGGAGTAGGCCTTCCCATCCTAAAAAAAACTTGCACCACTCTAGTTGTCCCCGTTGAAATGTTCGAAGCAAAGAAATTGTAGATAAAAATCACCTTATATCACCTTATTTTTGCGAGCTTGTGTCTCTTTATCATCCAGCCCCACACTTTAAATTATTGTATTCGTGTGGAGGATATCCCAAAAAACAAACTCAAATTTGCACAAAATCGTAAATACAGATTATTACATTGGTTGTGTATTGAGATATTATAGGCCAAGGCCTGATTTTCTGCAAAAAAAATGTGGGGAAATTGGCCCTTTTTTCCGAAATGCGTGGACGAAATTCTAGACTTGGATTTTTGTGCCAGAGGTGTGTTCCCCATGCAAGCCTTATTTTACTGTCAAGCCCCTCCAAATCACCTTTGCATTCCCCCAATCAAACAACATCCTTACCAATTCAGCTGGTCATGCTTAGAAACCCCAGCATGCATTGTGAACAGGGTGGTTCATGTTATGTTTTAACCCTAGGCCCTAGCATATACATGGTGTATACTGTAAATACAATTCATTAGTTAGTGGTTTACAGGCCTTGTTTAGGGTGTTTGCTCCTTCCAGGTAACCACTTTTATATTTCTAGCTTCTGCTATATCTGGTTGATTGGATTGGATTTATTCGGTGGGAGACACCAATTATAGCCCACGAAAGTCTATAAGAAGACTTATTTCCAGTTGGGTCCCAGTACACTGGGAGACAATCCCCTACTTTTTTCCGAAGAGTGTATAACTGCGTTATTCAACGTGCACATGGGCCATGAATGCTCACGGGACAAACGCCTTAAACGTATCATCCGAAAGACGGTGCACTATTGGAACCTCCAGCTAAAACACAAGGAGAGGCAGCGATGGGAATTGAACTGGGGACCTAGAGATTTCGACGGTTCAGCTCTCTTTGGTCACAGGCAAACAACACATTTTTTTCTATTTAAATTGGTTATTACTTAGCCTGGGTTCCAGGCCCTAATTTTAGGTTACTCACTCTTTATTGCACTTAGTGCGCGCCATACTTAATTTAATTGGCATCCCATACTTGATTTCTTTTTTTTTTTCGAATTATATTATTCCATCTCTAAATTAACTTTCTTGTTGGTGGCGCTGTCCAGATTGAGAAAAATAATAAAAAATAAGAGACTTGTGGCAAGTCTAGTTATTACTGTAAGCTATGAATTAAAGTCAGCTACTGAAAGTGAGTGACTAAAGTGCTTCCACTTTGAATTATAATGCTCACAGTCCTTGATTCTACCACTACTGCAAGTGGATGCTACTGAAAGTGAGTGACTAAAGTGCCTCCACTTTGAATTATAATGCTCACAGTCCTTGATTCTACCACTACTGCAAGTGGATGCTACTGAAAGTGAGTGACTGAAGTGCCTCCACTTTGAATTATAATGCTCACAGTCCTTGATTCTACCACTACTGCAAGTGGATGCTACTGAACGTGAGTGACTAAAGTGCCTCCACTTTGAATTATAATGCTCACAGTCCTTGATTCTACCACTACTGCAAGTGGATGCTACTGAAAGTGAGTGACTAAAGTGCCTCCACTTTGAATTATAATGCTCACAGTCCTTGATTCTACCACTGCTGCAAGTGGATTCTGCAAGAAGTCACTGACATGTAATAAGGTAATTCTATTTTTTTTCAGGTATCGGGAGCAGTCAGTAGCATTATGAATAAAAAACAGTGTTTGGCATTGGAACATAACAAACCGTTTATAATTGAAAATATAGATGGCAAACGTCTACTTGATTTAATGGTTGAGAAAAACATTTTCAGCACAGATGATGATGAAGAAATCCGAGAAGCAGGAACACGAAAGGTAAAAAACAAACGATATTATTATAATTCTTATTGATTTTTACTATTCCCAGCAGGGATTACTCTTGCTTCTTTGATTTTGAAGATATTTTTTGAGCAACTCTTGATTCAGGAGGGAAAATAATCTTTGAAACAATGAAAGTTCTTGGATTGTGTGAATAGGCACTTTACGCAAGAGGACGGGGAGCTGTCGACAACGGCAATTCGGGTTACGTGCCCAAGGGTTTACTGTGGTCTTCACTCTCTGATGTGCACAGAACTACAGTCCACCCATCTTCCCGTCCTGTTGCGTAATGTGCCTGTTTATCTCCTGTGCGGAGAGAGGCAAACATAAGTAAAGTGCCTTGCCCAAGGACACAAGCAATGAGACGAGCATCGGTCTCGAACTACCGATCTCACGATCGACACCTTACACGCAGTTAAGCCGGGCACTCACTGCATCGTACAACGAATCCAACTCCGCTCCCTGCGAGCGCTAGACGTCGCGATCCTATCTGCTGATTGCTAGTGGCAGTCTGAGTGGATTGTCATTAAAACAATCTGTTGTACGCGAGTCATGACACGCAGTGATTGCTCGGTCTAATTATTCAACTGTTTTTTTTTAAAACTATAATGGTTTTTTCTTAACTAATTTTTAAGGGTTTTTTATTAGCACTTGTAAAAAGTGCAGTACTTCACCTTGTTGCAAGTTGCAAATGTATTTTGTTAAGTGACCGGTAACAGATATATTTTTATATTTTTATTTTATAAAGATACCAAAACCAACTACTGTAGTAAATATATATAAAATCACTTTATTTCGAAACTAAACAAAGCAAAACATACAAAACCTAGGTCGTGACCTTATAAAGGAACACGCAAGGTAAACAGACAAAAAACAGTTACAAAAGCAGGTGACAAGAAAACAGGAGACTTAATAAATACAATTTTTATTATTTTTTTTTTTTAAGCTGACTGCTGAAAAGTTTTATGACAAATTGTTGAAGAGCAAACATGGAGATGCCTATACAACTTTCAAAACAGCTTTGAATCAAAACGGTGATACTTACATTGTAAAAGAACTTGAAAAAATAGAACAAAAATATGCCAAAGTTCCAGATGAAAATTTGCCTGACCCACGAAGAGCTGGTGTGTATTCTTCAAATAATTTATTTAATTTAGATATTAATTTTCATTTACTATAATCTTCATTATAAATAGTTGAAGGGTGAAGCATGAAGAAAAGATACAGTTTGGAAATTTTATTCACTTACCTATACTTATTACAATTGAGAGGACAGGTAAATTACAACCACTTGGCTAAAATGATTTATTAGTTGAAGGTACACACAAAGTACAGTATTATGTATACACTACTGTACAAACTCATCAGTTTCAAATGTTAATTTAACCTTCGACAATGATAAATTATTTTAAATGACTCATTATTGGAATAAATCTTAAGCCCTGTCCAGCGACTATCGTATGCCCATATATAGTCATGATGTGCCTATATATGGTCATGATGTGATGTCATCATGACCATATTTAAGCATGTCACATATTTTTGTCAAAAGTAAGCAGACCTGTATCCATGGAGACCTCAACACAACGTTGAGCGCACACTGGGTCGTTTTCATCAACAATCTACTGGGACTGCCACTGACAACAAGCTAATGGGATAGAGTCGTCAAGTGTAGCGGAGATCGATGCAGTGTGTGCCTGCCTTTAACTATTAAAATATCTAGGTGACAACCAGAATTTAGTAATTGATCGATTTACTGATTGATTGATTAATTAATGAGTTGTTGGGTCGCTGAGGCTGATTCCCACTTTCTTAAACATGCCATTCTCAATTTCTTTTCACAGGTGTACATGCAGGTGGGAATTCAGTGTATGTATCAGGCCATGGAAATACCGTTATCGCAGGAGGACAACATGTCACTGTTAATAATACCTTTCGTCGTTAAACCCTGTTCACATGCACCACGCAATAGAGTATCACAGTCATGTCGTCACGACGCCAGGTGACGCTCTCTGTTATCTACAGACGTTGGTTACCGTTCATTTTGCCTGAATGACTTAGGCTTTCTGGAATAGGCATTTTAAATCTAATATTTTACCATAAAAAAAAGCTCGCATTACATTATTATATTATCGAACTCACATTTAATCATCAATTAAAATTTACAAAAAAAAAAGTAAGATACAACATTTTAATAATTACGTTAGAAATTGGGATCAATGGTTTGTCAGTGGAGAAAATGGCGCCCAGGTTGAACGATTTTTGCAATGATACGAACATAGTAGTATCACGCGGTATAGTGACGTAACACTGAGTACTCTATAGAAACAATCGTCTACCGGGAACCTGTAGTGGTTACGTGATGTAGAGGGTATAACTTACAGTGCGATAAGTGTTAAAGTATAGGAAAAGCGGTTGTTGGCGGTTGTAAAATCAACTGTAAATTAGGCTTTGGAATTTACGTAATCCTTTGTGAAACTTGAGCTAGCCCAGAAATTGTATCATGTCCCGCTCGCAGTTCACGGCTCAAAGATCCTTGTGCATACCTAAGCTTGCCGCTGATAGGTGGGGCTAGGCCTAACTTTTCTTAAATAATCTCAATATTTGGGGCCACTATCTTTCAGAGCATTAGCAAAATATTACAGCAAAATTCTCAAGTTTCCAGTCAATGTAGTAGAGTTTACTGGCATTCCAACAAACATTTGTTTCGTTTGTGCCTTAAAACAAAAACACTTCGAAGAAGCCATGCATTTTCCTATTACTGAGCGTAACTGGCACTGTCTGTTTATGTTTTCTACCCACTATAGGTCACCGATTGTGTCTGTTGTTTTAAATAATTAGTTCGGTACAGATTATGAGATCAATAAAGGGTTGGGATTTTTTATTCTTGAAACTAATCCTGCACAAAGGAGCTCTGATAAAACTAATGCTTATGATTTTTTAAATTGTTCTTGACTAATTGCCCATTTATATAAAGAAATAAGTTAAAGTTAAGATCTGTCCACACTAGCACGTTAATGTTAAAAATGTGCGTGATGTGCCTATCTATGGCATGATGATGTCATATCACACCCATATCTGGCAAATCACAGTAAGTCTCATACAGTTTCATAGTGTGAACAGAAATATATACATTGGTTAAGCTATGCTTTTAATACGAAGAGTAAATGAGTAGTTGTATTGTCGTATTTAGTTCAAGTCATGTACTGTGCAGTGGTGGATCCAGGAATTTGAAATAGAGGCCCAGGGAGAGATTAAACGTACATGGCACCTCAGCTCCACTATGGTTGGGGATTAAGCATGAATGCCTATGGCATCTCCAAATGGTTTGAAATGGCACTTCCAGGCTAACATTTCAATGTTGGTTTTTTTCCCTGATTTTTCCAGCATGGACCTTTTAAATCTGCCTCTGCTGTACTACTTTTAGTATAATAGCAATTATTAAATACGTTGGTTTGTGCAAGATATTGCCTTGTGAAGAATACGATTTTTGGTGAAGCAAGTTTATTATGAATATTTTCATTATTTTTGTTTTTTATTAATTTATCCTAAATTACGTGTAGGTCTATACTGAAATTTCTTGTCATACCAGTGATGAAAAATATATAATGCTGTACATGTACATTTAATTATTTTTAAGACACAGATATGACAATAGTAAAATGGTTATTAGTAAAATCATCATGTTTAATTTTAATTGCAAGTATGAAATTAAAAATGACCATGATGCATTTTTTTTTTGTAAATAAACATATATTGAAAAACTGCATTTTCCTGATACTTTTTCAGCAGTGTTTATCTCAATTAAGCTAGGAATCCATTTGTCCAGTTGCGATTGCGGCTTCGTTTGCGGTGTAGTGCGTTTTAATCAATATAACTGTCTTAAGCGAGAGTGATTCCATTAGTTGCATCATCATAACCGCATGCGCTCATTTTAATTGCTCCATGGGGCGATTTATCTGTTTTGATTTCAGCCTACCTTACAGTATGGTGAATGACCTTTTAAATCTGCCTCTGCTGTACTACTTTTAGTATAATAGCAATTATTAAATACGTTGGTTTGTGCAAGATATTGCCTTGTGAAGAAACACTTTTTTGGTGAAGCAAGTTTATTATGAATATTTTCATTATTTTTGTTTTTTATTAATTTATCCTAAATTACGTGTAGGTCTATACTGAAATTTCTTGTCATACCAGTGATGAAAAATATATAATGCTGTACATGTACATTTAATTATTTTTAAGACACAGATATGACAATAGTAAAATGGTTATTAGTAAAATCATCATGTTTAATTTTAATTGCAAGTATGAAATTAAAAATGACCATGATGCATTTTTTTTTTGTAAATAAACATATATTGAAAAACTGCATTTTCCTGATACTTTTTCAGCAGTGTTTATCTCAATTAAGCTAGGAATCCATTTGTCCAGTTGCGATTGCGGCTTCGTTTGCGGTGTAGTGCGTTTTAATCAATATAACTGTCTTAAGCGAGAGTGATTCCATTAGTTGCATCATCATAACCGCATGCGCTCATTTTAATTGCTCCATGGGGCGATTTATCTGTTTTGATTTCAGCCTACCTTACAGTATGGTGAATCCATTCAAGGGCCTTCAAAAACGCACATGATGGAATCAATTAAAACGCACTGTAAACGCAACAGGAGCCAGGACTACAACTGCAACCGGACAAATGGATTCTTAGCTTTATGTGTAGCAGAAAGGAATGTGAAGTTTGGTGACATTTTTGATTATAGAGACACCTTTTCTACAAGTTGGCTACAATACAAAACATTTGAAAATTAATAATAAATAAGTCTTTTTTTTTATTATTAAAAAAATTAAATAAATGAACCATAATCTACGGTAAATCCCCCCTAATAGACCTAATATGATTTCAAAGTTTCATTACTAAGCCCAATCCAATGTAATCAGTTTTAACATACAGAAAGGAAGTTTAATAAAGAGGATTCTTCTTTGAAACACCTTCGTTCTATTCACACAATCAATCTTATGGGAGATACACATATCAATTGTCCATATTTGCACAATTGATTTGGGAGATACACATATCAATTGTGCAAATATGGACATGATGTGACATTTATCATGCCCTTTATATGGATGTGATATGACATCATGCTCATGGGCAGTTCACAAGTGTCCATCAAATTTGATAGTGTGATAAGGCATAAACACATGATGCTGGTACAGGTGAAGTCTACTTTTCAAACTTTTTTAAGTGGCATGGCCCACTTTTAGACTCTCTATTCTTTGGCAACCCAAGGTAAACTATATATAATATTGTCATCAGCAGTGGCATTGGTATGGGCTGTGCAGCCAGTGCGAAACACTGGGGCCCAGGTTGGGGCAGTTGGAGGCCCGATCAATACTTCGGAAATTCCTACTTAAATTTTAAAAGGGTCCCTCAATGCTATTATAGGTTTTAATATCCTACTCATGTCCCTAAGGAGAATTCCATAATGTTGCAGCTGTAATCAGCGCATGGTTGTGTTTGAACCTACTACTTACTCACTTGTACTCCTGGGTGGAGAGAGACAACCATAGGTAAAGTGCCTTGCCCAAGGACACAAGCGACTTGCACAGCGAACCCCTGACCTCTAGGTTGGGAGTTCAAGCTACAAACGATGCGCTAGACTGGGTTCCAGTCTATATAAACTTTGTCTTAATCAGTGAAAATGCTTACAAATAAATCGATTTTGGCACCAATGGCATAATACATTTTACTTATTTGCATGTGGCATTCCAATTTTTTTCGTGGTGCAGCCCACCTTTATTCTCCTTTTTTCGTTGTTTTACGTTGTTTTACGTATTTATACAATGCTTGCACATGCCAAAGCTATTTCAAATTAATTTATAATTACAGTCTTGATAAAGGTGATCATAATGGTTAAATCTATAGGCCCCTTGCAATGTTTACATTGGACCCAAAGATCTTATAACCGCAGTTTGGCCGCGTTGGACGCTGAAAACAACGTACAGTGCAGATTCGGCCTATCTATGAGTGAAGCAAAGAAAACTCGCCAAAAACTTGTAGGACGATTCGGAAAGGGTCGTGACAAAGTGCGAGTCATGCGAGCCAATGCGCGAGCCATGCGAGTCATACATTTTAAATCCTTTTTTTTCACCGGGAAGCTTTGCCTGTGTAGTCCAGTCATGCGCAGTACATACACTTTTTCGAATCGTCGATCCGGAAGTATGCAGCGCTGATAAAGATGTTGTTAAGATACAAATATACAGATACATACATACAGATATATTTATATATATGTACTGTATTTATTGATATATCTATATATATATATATATATATATTATTTTATATATACTGTATATATTTATTTATATATTTTTATATTTATTTGTATATTTATACATATATATATTTATTTGTATATTTATTTATATATAGGCCTATGTATATATTTATTTATATATTTATGTTTATATACTTATTTGTGTATATATATTTATATATTTATTTATTTATATATATAATGTATTATTGTTTTATATTATATACTGTAATTATTTATATATTTATTTATATATTTTTTTATATATTTGTTTGTATATTTTTTGTATATTTATTGATATATTTATTTGTATATGTATTTATATATATTTATATGTTTATATATTTATTTATATGATTATTTAAATTTTTTTTATATTTTGTTTGTATATTTATTTATATATATTAATACTGTCTCTTATACACATCTACCGTAACCCTAACTCTAACCCTAACACTAACCCTAACCCTAACCTAACAAAA